TTGCTTCTTTGTTCTTTAAGAGTTTAGATGGTATCATGATGGCAGTTGTCATACTCAAATGTATGTATAAATAGCATTTAACTCATGTGTTATATTGTTTCTGACACCTATTTGGTGCTTGTATTTACTCTTAGTTTTCATATCTGGGCAGTGACCAAAATAAAGTTTTGCTTTGACAATTCAATATCTAGATTCTGCAATTCAATAAATATTTCATAATGTTGTCCCTTTGGAATTTAAATACTCTGAGATCCATAAAACATCCATTTGTCAGCCCTGCTTGGCCTCCTCATTTTCCTCAGTCAATATTTAGATTATTTTAAATGCATATTCCATGTTGCCACTCAGGCAGACTCTACCATTTTATTTAAAGTATTCAGTGTCTGACAAGAGGAAATAAAATATTCTCACTGGAGCTATAAGTAGCATCATGGTATGTCTTTCAGCATATATAGTTTAAAAAAACTCCTTGTGTTAATGTAGTGTTGGTGTTTTGCCAGTCAACAGAGGTGGGGAGAGGGAGATGAGGAGAAAGAGAATAAAGGCAACATTGCTTTCCTGCAATAATTCATGCAGTTGATTGTCCTTCCTCAGTGTTTACATTTCTATTTATAAGAACAAATCGATGCTACTATCTTGGCTGGCAAAGGAGGCTGGCTGTCCTGCCAGAATGGCAGGTGTAAAGAAGTCTGCATTAAATATTAATTTACATCAGACAAAGGGCTATTTTGTCTTTGTCACTCTGGCAGCACAAATGGAAAATCCATGCAGCCTTTTCAATTAGGCTGAACTGACAAGGTTCTAATCAATGGGGGAGGCAGCAGGGATCCATGCTGTAGCAAGTGAAGGAAGAGCAATACAGCAAACTACAAGCAATGCAGGTAGAGCCATCATATGCCAATCAAATATTTTATCTAGCCTTATTGGGCTGAACATCCAGGGAATATGTGTAAAACCTGACACTATCAATCTGCTAAATCTCTTTTACACTAAGCTTTTGATTTCATGCATATTCTACGCCAACAATGGATCGACCTTTCTGCTCTTGCTTCTGCTACAGACTCCTGCCTACCCAGCAGTTTGAAAGCATGCAATATGGAGAGTAGATAAACGGGTACCACTTTGGTGAGTAAAACGTAGCTGCATTTATGTATGTGGAGACCGGAAGCCAGCACTGGACCTGGCCAGACATGAGGCAATGCAACATGAGGTGAGGTGAAGAGACACTGGTAGAGGAGCATAGAAGAGCAAGCAACCCAAACAATGCTAGTCAGATGGTATAATCTAGTTCATCCCCTCCATTGCACCATGGATAGGCATGCAAATATCGAACACAATGAACAAGCAATTTAGGCCATCATGTCTGCATCGTGTCTAGCATTTGTAGATTTCCCTGACATTGTAAGCCATATGCTAAATAAATAAATCTGTTACAGAACTAATATAAGAAAAGTAAAAGTAAATGGGAAAGTATGGTTGCTGTTGTACTTCCTAATTGTATTGCCTATTGCTCAGACACGAGTTAAGTTAAGTGGTTGCATCATTGCATATATTGGGCCAGATGTGTTGCCTTGTCCTACTGTAAAGGCAAACAAAAGTAGAACCAAGCTTGGAATCTGCATCCATGTAGACCAGAGGTGGGTTTCAGCAAGTTCTGATCAGTTCTGGAGAACCGGTAGCGGAAATTTTGAGTAGTTCGGAGAACCGGTAGTAAAAATTCTGAGTGGCCCCAGTAATATTTTACTGAAAATCTTTAACTGCGCAGAAATGGACAGAGTCACTTTGGAACTCAAGGGTAAAAGTAAAACTAAGTACTATGAAATCTGGGAACAATTTTATGATTGGATAGATAACAAGAGGGTAGCCAAGACAAATGTATAGTGTTAGAACAAAAATATAGATGTTATTTTAGATAAATGTATGTTTAAGAACTATATGTTTATATGAGTACTAATATTATTGTAAAGTGACGGAAAATATTTGGAACCAGTGATGTCATATCTATGTCCAATGTTTTTTTAATTTTGTATTATTAATAAATATTTTTAAAATTTTAAAAAAAATTGACTGGCCCCGCCCCATCTATTCTCTGCCTCCCAAGTCCCAGCTGATCAGGAGGAAATGGGGATTTTGCAGTAACCTTCCCCTGGATTGGGGAGGGAATGGAGATTTTACAGTATCCGTCCCCTGGAGTGGGGTGGGAATGGAGATTTTATAGTATCCTTCCCCTGCCATGCCCACCAAGCCACGCCCACCAAGCCATGCCCACAGAACCGATAGTAAAAAAATTTGAAACCCACCACTGATGTAGACATGTATTTAATGAAGAATGAACTTATCTTAGGGCAGCCAAAAGGAAGCTATTGAGGAAGCTTTCTAAATTTTTGTAGTGCCACATGCCATCCCTATGTCAGTAGCTCCTTATACATCATCCACTAAGAGGGGAGGAATGCTATAGGTTCCCACCATGTCCAATGGCAGAAATTATTGCTGAAATAATCAAATACTTGCTTGTATGGTATTCTTAAGCAAAGAATAATTCATTCATGTTGCTAATGAATAAAGTGTGAACAAATAAATTTTAAATAAAAAAGTCCAACATACCTTCTAATTATGTTGACTACTTTGTAAATGAATATTAGGTAGAATACTCCTTCATAAATTAGTTCACCATACCATCAAAGCCGTGGAACAGCTATTCCACGGAGATGAACAAGGGTTCACTTGATTATTCTCAAGTTTTATCTGCTACTATTTCTGTCCCATCTGCCTACTCTGAATAACAAGCCTTTCTAATCTGATAGGCTCTTAATCTAAAATAAAAAGTCACTGAAAGCCACCAAAACCAATTAAATGTAAGCTGTACTACAACTCAAGTCTGGCTGAAGAGAAATATAAGTACAGCTTTACTGGGAACACAGTCCAGTTTCTAGTCTCTTGGTAGTACCAGTGATTATCTTGCTTTCCTGGTTTCTGACTCCTGTCTCCTCAGAGTGAATTGGTTGCCTGTAGCAGATGGCAGTTGAAGTCTCAAAGCTTCAGAGTGCAGCAGTTTCTTTATCCCAGGTTTGGGCAACTTCAGATCTTGTTTGCAAAGTCTTTTAAACTGCTTCCATGTTAGTCTTAATGCCTATTCCTTCATCTACTTTGACTCTTGTCTCCTTGTTGTTCTTGTAAAGGTACTTTAATTATTTTATTTATTTTTATTTATTTATTTTTTATTTATTTTATTTCGTCAAGCATGTATTTTATGACAGATACAAGTGTAAACATAATTATAAATACTTGAAAAGGATACGAATAAAAGAAAACATTAGGACAGGGACAGTAGGCATGCTGGTGCGCTTATGCACGCCCCTTACAGACCTCTTAGGAATGGGATGAGGTCTACAGCAGAGTTTTGGGGATTTGGGGAAGAAACCACAGAGTCATGTAGTGTATTCCAGGCGTAGACAACTGTGTTACCGAAGTCATATTTTCTGCAGTCTTGTTTGGATCGATGAGTTTGTATCTATTGTGTGCTCTTGTATTGTTTTGGTTGAAGCTGAAGTATTCATTGGCTGGTAGAACATTGTAGCAGATGATTTTATGTACTATGCTTAGGTCAGACCGAAGACGGCTCATCCCTGGGAAAGAAAAAGGGCTGAAAAAGAAGATCAACATAAACCTGTCTGTTTCTTCTAGGTGCAAGTGTCTGTTCCATGATCTGTTACCTAACTCAAAGAACTGACCACTTTGGAAGAACCCCCACCAATGCCACCACTGCTATCTGCCCATTGGACTCTGCATTTTCACAGTCATTTTGCTGTAGATACTTCTTTGCACAACTATAATCTTCATTGGAGGAAGATTCAGAATTGTGAATTTTGACCCCATGTAAAAAATGCAGGCTTCCAAAAGGTCAATATTTCCACTGTTATACAGAATTTGTAATTTACTGAATTCAAGGATTTATTTGTTTCAAAATAAGGACAATATTAGTTTCTATAGTAGCCAAAAATCAGAAAGAACTTGGCATCCTTTTCAGACTAACACATTTTTATTAAAAAGCTTTCATGAATTATATCTCACTTCTTCAGATGCAGCACAATCTTCATTATCCTGAACCCCCCAAGAACAAACTCTGATATAGAACTGATTGTTTCTTTTATTTTGGTGTTACCTCCATCTTTAAATTCTATTCTATGCCATCTGATTGGTATCAGCAAGGCTGTCTCATTTTTTTTGCAAAAGAGAAGAGTCTGCAAGTTTTCATCTCCTTTGCTCTCCCACTGTCCCCTTTACACTCAGTCGTAATCAACTTTAACTTAAAATAAAAGGAAGTTGCACAGACTGCTGAACAAATTGAGCAGCCAATTTGAATTTCATAAAACAAGCTCTGACTTATAACAGGGGCAGCACCTACACAGCAATACAAAGGTCCCTTCCACCCCATTTTCCTCACTCCCATATGTTCAGAGGAAAGATTGGGGGCATTTTCTGCCAGTAGATGATGATGGGGGTGAGAACAGAAGAGATTCTGCCATTTGCTGACCTGAAATACCCATGTTTCTCTGTATACAAGCATCAGTGCTGACCAAGTTTCACACAGTAACAGTAGGCTGTAAAGACAATACTGGACTTTTCATAGCAACGTATTTTCCTGCCAACTCAAAGACAACAAGGAAGCATAGGAGGAGCTGTGAGAATGAATTATTGAAGTTCTAACAGCCTGAATGCATATTCCAAAGCAATTTCTAAAAGTCTATCAAAGACTGATGTGCATGATAATGTCAAGGCGTTTCCCCAGACTCTTTCTGTTGTTCATAAACTTTCCAATCCATCTTGCATACTTCTAATAGCACCAGATATCTCCCTAATGGATGGTATTTCAAGGTCAGTTCCTGTTTAAAATGTAGCATATCTTTATGCCATGGAATCAAGATGGCATTTAATTCTTTGGAATGAAGATCATCTGAATATCAAACCACAATCCCTAAAGGTGATAGATATGCTGAAGCTCCTGATAACAGCATGTTTATTTAGAATAAGTAAAGGTAGCCAAATATGTGTATTTTTGTTATTAAATAAATGATTCATTTTTTTTCAGTAAAGAATACTGTGGAAAAAGTCTTCCTAGCTAATTAAAAACCCAGATGAATTTCCCAGTAGATGTTAAAGGATTTGACTCTCTGACCTCTACAGCAGCATAGCAGGGTAACTCCAGAGATTCCAGGATGCAGTCCTGAAACAATGGGAAAATTATTATGGGCTGTACCTGTATTTCTCCAAATCTAGCTCTCAAAAGCCAGACTGGCTTTTCAGACCTATTAAAGATTTAACAGCTGTAATCAACTTCTATAAAAGATATTTTAAGAAGTTTCAATAGACTGTCTGCAAATCACAACTAGACTGTCAGTTTTCTCAACCTAGGCAACTCTAGACTGGGGAATGCTGAATTTGAACTCCCAGCATTCCCCAGACTGCATACTAGAAAAGATTCTAGATTGCTAGATTATACAAATTATATAAAGAGTTTTCAACCCGGTGGAAAACATTGTATTAGGGCTGTCCTAATCAAAGATGGATTTGTGGATGCAGACAATCCTGTATATTCCTGAATATACAGAATCTATATGGATACTCATTCAAAATAATGGAAACTGCCAATGATGTAAATGAAACAGAAGGAAATGGGACTTAAAACTTCCACAAGGTATTCTGTGTTGGTTTCTATGTGATTCACTACATTCCTGGAAAAAGAAATAAGTGCCCAGAAACACTGGAGTCATTTCAGCTAGGTTCTGCAGCATAATCCATCAGTGTTCTTCAGAAGTAGAATCTTATACTGAGTGCCATATATTTTGAATGGAAATGTCTGCTAAACATTTATATTAAGGCAATCAAATAACGAAAAGAGAGTTGATTAGCCAAATGTTTTAACCAATTGATCCATTCTATTTACATTTCTATATTGTTCTCCTCAGATTTTGATGGAGATAAATGTTACTCTCCATTGTGAAAGGAAAAACCATCTGTAACAATTTGTCAGCAATTCCCTTTTCCAGTAATAACTATGAAGAAATATTCCAAGTAATATATGTGCCTTTAACTAATAGCCTTACTAATTGGAATACTGAGCTACACTGTTTAATCCAATAAATTTTTGACTAATCTATCAATTAACACTATTTTTAACAAAACATATGCAGATACACAATAGAAGATACTGTTTTAAATGCATCAAAATAGCTTAATAATATTTTCATTCCAATGCCTCCAAAGAAATTTGACAATAAAATCACTGTAAACAATTTAAATAATTTCTCATCTAGTTCAAAACTGAAACAAAATGCCACTAAACAACACAGTTTTGATAAACTCTATTAAATGAATTCTTCTTGGGAAGAGGGGGGGGGGGAAGGAAAGTATAGAGGTTTGCAGCTCAGCCAGAGTTTCTGTGTAAGAGAGAGAGAGAGAGATCTGTTTGAATTTCTAATGAGCCCATTAAAAAATTTCTATTTTAACCTCATGTTACTTTTGCTGTTTCTCATCTGACATAATTCAAAGAGCTGTAATACAGCAATCCTGAAGTGAAAAAGGCTAGAAACGAGGAAGTAGAAAAAGACTGGTGAATTATTCAAGATATGAGAACGATTAAGTACCATAGACCTAGGTATCTGCCTATTATCTCTCTCTCTCTCTCTCTCTCTCTCTCTCTCTCTCTCTCTCTCTCTCTGTGTGTGTGTGTGTGTGTGTGTGTGTATAGGTATATGTATATATATGTATATGTGTGTGTGTATATGTATATGTATATGTGTATGTATATATATAGAGAGAGGGGGGGAGGGAGAGACCATGGACATTGCAGGTGGAAGTTCAAAAGGCAAGATGATAACCACAGCCAAAGCCCCAACCATTTGCTCACTGTTTTGCCTTTCATCTTGACTTTTTTTCCCACCTTCCTCTCCCCAGATGCTCCTAAGACAAAGAGATGTTCTCCGGCATCCAGTATCCTATCACCAGCAACAAATATCATGCTTTAGAAGAGAATGGAAGAGGCCATGCAGTAATTAGGAAATAACCTTTGTCTGGCTGTTCATTCTAGCATTGCAAAAATTATAGCACACTGATAAAATGTGGGAGGGATGGCACTCAACCATTTTCTAGCCAAAAGTAATACTGCTTAATTTTTCAGTGGGCTAAAAAAAGGCTGCAAAATCTAAAAATAAATACAACTAATAAGATTACTTCCTATGTATTTATGTAAGTTTCCCCTATCATCATATCAAAAATTTCTGTTCAGGGCGGCTTTTGACAAGATAGCATACCTTCTGCATCTCAGATTTTAGAAGGCTGGTCACTCAGCCTCAGTTATACACCATTGCAAGGTAGTGCAAGAAATATATGGTGACAAAAAAGACCAGCACCTTCACCATAGTTGTGAATAAGCCATAGCTCCAGAATATCAGTGCCTGAAGCTAGCAATGTCTACTAAGCAGAAAGTGTGCTCTGAAGTAAAAGCAGGTGAAGGGTTGGAGAAGAAGCTGAAGGAGATGTCAGAAGATCAATGAGAATACAGCTGGAAGGGACCTTGGAGGTCTTCCAGTCCAAACCCCTACTCACGCAGGAGACGTATCAACTCTATACCAAGACTAAGAGAAGCCTGCAGAAAAAGCACCCATTGGATTATCCTTATCAGGCCTGTATTTATTTATTGGTTCGATTTATATGCCGCCCTTCTCATAAGACTCAGGGCAGCTTACAATGCTTTAAGCAATAAACAAACTCCTTCACATTTTATTGCTGCCTGGCCAGGACTCGCTCATTGCCAGAGCAGAGAAGAGAACTGGGTCCTCACATTGGAAACCTTTATTCAGAGGGAAATTGCTTATATGCTCATAAACAAGGCTGGACATTTTAATTGAGATTGTTTGTATCAGAGTAGGAGAACAAGCCTCAGACTGTTGCTGCCAAGTCAATTTCCTTCCTTGGTTAAATATTTTATTTGGTGAGTTTCTTTGAATTCTTGGTTTGAACTCCAAAAAGTCTACTTTTTTTTTCAACCCAAGCCCTTAAAATGCTCAAGGGATTGAGGACAATAAACTTCATCAGATACTCTACATCTTTGAAGGGGCCAATGTTTGCTTTCTAGTCAGCTCCCCATCTCTCTGTCTGCAGGAGTATCTGCCCCCAAATGCAAGAAAACAAAGTATGGCAAAGATAACAAAGATAACTGGCGGCCCCCAGGGGGAGAGCCTTCTCTGTGGGGGCACTTGCCATCTGGAACGAGCTCCCCCCAGAGATACGGAGGATCCCGGATTTGCGGACTTTCCACCACGCCCTCAAAACATTCTTATTCCAGCAGGCTGGTATGGCTTAACCTCCCTTTTAATTGCTTTTAAATTTGTTTTATAAATTGGGGTGTTTTAAATCAGGCCAAAGTATTTAATGTATTTTAAATGGTTTTTAACATTTGTATTATGTGTATTTTATCTTTTTGGCTGTTCACTGACCTGAGTCCTTCGGGAGTAGGGCAGTATTTAAATTTAATTATAAATAAATAAATAAATAAACTAGGATCACAGTAGCAGAGACTTTGCTTAAGGCTGCTTTCAACGTCTACTGTATTTGTCCCAAAACATTAACTGTTGCCAGTTGTTCATTTTCTCACCACCCCTAGTATCATCACAATTTTCTGATCTCGCTATGTTTTTTTATCAATATTACACACAAGACCAGAAAAGACAAATCCATTTTAATCATATATTGCAGGCAGCTCAGAAAAGAAGTTTAAAGAAAGGCTGTAATAATCCAATGTGGAATATTCTGTTTTATCACTTGAGTAGTGGAAGATTAAAGAGATTTTTTTTTTCCAGGCCACAGTCAGAATTAAGTAAAGAGGCTTGGGAAATTTTCACACAAATATTACGAAGAAGGTTACTAAGGAAAGAACAATTCCCTATTAAATGTACTTTATGGGCAGTCCCAGACATTCATCAAATCAGACACACACTTCTGAAGCTCTTTTTTGAGGATTCTGCTGATTCACTCATCATAAAATCAACTAAGCTAGGTAGCATGAGAGAAGAATTCCTTCTTGACAGTAGCCCAAGCAATCCAAAGTATTTCACTTTTCAGTTCCAGAATGAACAACTATGTCATGACTCTTTGAAATGAGTCCTTATTAGAAAAAGGGGCCTAAATCACAGCCTCCATCTAATCTAGAAATTGTCAACAACAATAACAACAACAAGCAGGAGTACAGATTTATTCCACCATCAGAGGCAGAAAAGAGAACCAAAATACTAAGCTCTTCCCCCATTTGTCTCAGTACTACACCCTGGCTCTAAAGAGAAAACGTATTGAGTATAAAGATTTACTTGAAAGCAGTATTGCTCTCAGATTGGAAAGCCAACTCTTTCCAATTTTAAGAATCTTAAAAGTGACTACCAGTTCTGACATTATGATGTTTGAATAAGAACAGCATGGACAATGTATTTTATCTTTTTGTTATCTGTGTTATATAATCCATTATTTCTTATTTTCTTCTCTTGGATCATTGGATTATGCCCTCATAAATCATGATAGAAAACATTTAAGGTATCTTTAAATATTTATATTCGTAAGATTATTAAAGGGTTCCACAACTCATGGCTCACACAGGCATTAACCTATCACATGATAATTGTTATCAGGAATTCAGAGGTTTTCTTCAACAGGTGAATTATTTTGATAATTCAAGAGGTGAGATACTTTGAAAATAATTCACTTGTTGAAATCCAACAATTGCAAATTGACTGCAGGAGTGCTTTGTTGTTTCTCTCCATTGTCTCCAACAGGACCAAGACTTTGGTCCTTATCTTTTCACATCAAGGTTGTCAGAAATCAAAACTCACACAGTCGAGGATTCATGATTAAATATCAATATATTTATTTATATTTCATATTTCTAAATAACCCATCTCCTTCAGAGATGAAATTAAATTAAAATTTGCATTATCCAAACTATATTGTGAGTCTAAAGTGGCCTGATATGGGCACACTTTACAAACTACTTCTTTAAATCACAAACTATGGCCTGATACAAGTGTGTGAATCAGTAGTGGGTTTCAAAACCTGTCGCTACCAGTTCGCTCATGGGCGCTCGCATGCTCGCGCATATGCAGAAGCGTCCGGGCGGGTGGGCAGAGCCTCCCGCCGCCGCCACTACCAGTTTGACTGAACTGGGGCAAACCGGTAGCAACCCACCACTGGTGTGAATATGCGCATCACTGTGTAATTATGTTCATTATCTCCTAATGCTCTAAACAATTACTTAAGCTGAGGCAAAGTCAAAGTTGCTGCTATGCACTAAATTGTTTATGTATGTGTGATCAAAATCTTTTAATTTAAAAATATATTTTTCCTGAGTTGATCCTGTTGTACACTCACTGAATTATAAAAATCTTCTTATGGGCATGTAGCTTTCATTCAGAAAAGTTAAGTATGAATGTACAAAGCAATTATCTTTTTTTCTGAAATGATCTTATAAATTGGATAACAGTCACAGATGGAGGAGTAACTCATTCTGTTATCTATAATGATGCCAGCATACAGTACAGTCCCCATACAAATAGTCTAACAATAAGGTTATATACCTTGTCCTTGGAAAATAGTATAACAGGCAATTTTTGTAATAATAGGCCTGAGATAAAATTGCTTTTGCTACATGTTCAGAAGCAATATTGGGCAGATACATATGATTAATGGCTCACAGTTTCTTTACGTAATTGGTGAAAATATTAAGTGATTCCTAAACACTTTGACTTTAATAGAAAATGAACTGAGATGGTGCTTCCAAATGAAGCTACCATCGTATAGTCAGCCTACTTTATTTTTGAGAGCTAAATATAATCTAGTTGTAATTATAAGGCATTTTCCTGTATCTGTTTTTATCACTAAAGAAAAATATTTGGGGATTATGTTGTGATGAAAGATTCAAAATGACTTGGCAGTCCTCTCCTGTCCTGTGGTTTTTGCTAACTCCCTTACCCCCATTTTACTTTATTTGGAAGAGCGATCCTGATCCAGCTTCAGCATTTCCTTCAGATTCTTCCAGAAAGCAAAGGTCTGAATAGTCTAATGTCTGCTCCAATCATTCTGCAGCTACACACCACCATCTGCTGGACTCTTCATTAACACCAACTCTTAGTAACAGTTCTCACAAATATAGTGCTAATTCTGGAATAAGAATCCAACCTGAGATCTGTAACTAAAGGAAACACAGATAAAATAATATTTGAGCATTCAAAACAAAGATGTTCAGACTTTTAGATAAAATAATATTTGAGCATTCAAAACAAAGATGTTCAGACTATTAAACAAATCTTAGGATTTTCCTTTGATGAGACTTGATATGAGTGTAAATTCCCTCTTAAAGAATATACACCTTGCACATTTTACTTTGTTACATTTGAGCAAAGGTAAAACTATAATAACAGATTAATATCATAGACTGATGAAAATATCTTGAATCTGTTTCTCCATACCCTGATATCTTGTTTATCTGATATGCCATGTATTGTATTTGCTTGCTGTTTTACTATCCCCTCTGATAGTCTAAGTAGAATGCCTGACAGCAGATCTAGACAAGATAAAAGCACTGCAAAGGAGGATGCACCAAACATTTTCTAAAAGAGAAATTTGCTTCCAGGTATGTATTTTTTGAACAGATTGCATTTGGAAAAAAGTACACAAGACCTGCAGGCTTGATATATCTCCCTGGCTACCAGTGATAGCTAAGGTAACTTTCTCATCACCTTGCCAATCACTCATATAGAAACACACAGTTTCCTGTCAAATCCTACATGAATGCATAATCTACAATCTTATCCTTACTTTATGATGCCAGATCTAGTTCCAGTATTTATAAATGTAATCTTCCCTTGCCTGGTACATTTCAGATATATGTGGTCAATTCCCCAATAGCCATGGAGAGATGGCATTCCAACACCTCCAGTATGGAGGTGACTGATCTAAGGGCCACTATCGCTATATATTCCCTTACAGCATGAAAAAGGCTGCAGAGCCTTCATAATCAAAATTAGACAGGCTAAATGTGCAAAATGGTTGAAAATAGGACCACATGTTCTAACAGCCTTTGACAAGGCTTACTGTGGCAATAGAGCTATGTATCACTGCAACAGACTTACTGTTCTTCCTTTGTGGATTCTTCTTTTTCCAGTGCTACCTTCCAGTGCAACAGACTTATGGTTCTTCCTTTGTGGATTATTATTCTCCCAGTACTACCTGTTTGAACCTATGTAGCTTCAAATGACATGTGCAAACACAAGAGTGGTCTATGCTAGGGCAATGATATATCTCCAAATAGATCCTATTCTCTGTCTGCCATTTGAATTCCTGTAATATAAATCAGAGGCAGGCCTTGTCCAATTGTTTTTCCACACTCTTTGGTTTAAAACAATTCTTCCACAAATGTCTAAGGAAAGATGGATGTTCCTAACCTACAGGGTCAATCTGGGAGAATTTTAGCTAGCAAAGCTGGGAAGAAAAGGATCCTTAACACTCAATTTCTCAACATGTTTTAGGGCAAGTCGAAGCGTAGCAACTCTTGAGACAGCCCCGATGGATTGTCTGTCTACTACAGCAGAGCACAGAATGTTCATTTCAAGAGAAAGTAATGAGATTCACTATAGTCTTTAAACTGGATCAAGCAGGCTTAGATGTATCTGACAAGAATCAAGTACAGAAACAACTAAATCAGTTATGGCTTTTCTTTTCTTTTTTCTTTTTTGGCTTCACAAAAGCTGCTGTAGATAGAAATGGTGTTTCAAGGCAAAACAGACAGATCTGATATTGTTAATTTTTCTGCAAACTATACATTGCCGCTGGTATGTTTATACTATTGAATGAACTGTAGACTATCCTTTATCCCTCCAGCAATCCAACATCTGACCACTGAAATTCAATGACAAAATGGCCAAAATTCAGAGTTTCAAGGGCCTTGAAACATGGATGGAAATTGTTCTGCTCCTGTCTTCTCTAGTCCCGTTCAAATGTTCCAAAAGAAGTTCTCAACATGAGAATTCTTTTAATAAGCCCCACACTCCATAACACATCATTCAATTGATATCAGAGTCCTTTAGATATCCATGCATGTAGCAACATCTGTGCTATTCATATGACTACCCTAAGAGGCTGACATCATTTGAATGATGTAATGTGAGAAGGCAATATTGGGAGTCTTCATGAAGGGAATATTCCATCTTTTTTGAGCACCTACAAGGGCCAATGATAGAACATCTACTGTAACTGAAAATCAGCATTTAAATATTCAAAGAGAATAAATTCTGGAAGCAATAGAAGATTCTGCTATCTTATTAAATCTCTAGTTCCCAATATAAACATGTCACTAACAGATGTTTTTACCACTGATAGAAGAAATAATTACCTGATTTGTAAGAAACCCTTTAATATAATAACTTATAAATGTTAGAATTATTCTGAAAATAACCTGTCACAGTTGATATCTACTATAAAGCCCTCAAAACAAATTTACAAGTTCTAAGGCAAAGTCAAATGTAACTACTTGATTGCATGATAGCCAAATTCCAACACTATAATTATAGAATCATATCTGCACAGCATACTGATAATATGATTAATGAAAATCAAAACTCAATAATCCAGTATTCCAGATGGGTAAGCTCTCAGTTGCTTAAAATGGATTTCAGATGGGCCATATAATATTTGCTGGTGGTTATTAACCAAACGTGTGTGGATAGGTGTTTATGTTTGTTTATTAGCCTTGAATTTGGCCATGATTGGTTCTACTTGTTTGATTTTTTATGTTCAGAAGAGACCATTGCTTCAGTTAAAAAATAAACCAAAACGCTAGCTTCCTAAATTATCTTAAGAACCTCTAGCAGAATGAATATCATTCTTCTACCTTCCTTCTCAAGTAATATTTACTACCAGGATTTATCAGGCATGAGTAGATAGATACTATCCATCTTTAAGTGGAGGATATGATTTTGCTTCAGTTATTTCTTTCAGAACTCATTGAGTGTGCAATATTAGAAATTATATATGCTGGTTTTTCCTGAGCCTAGTGCTCTCTAGATACGTTGGGACTAGATTTAACAGAATTTCCAGACAGCATTTTAAATACCATGGGCATTGGCAATCCTGAGTGGAAATTTTGGACATTGTAGATTAGTGAATGTGCTCTACACATGCATGAAAGTTTGGATTTAGACATCACACTAAATCATGGCTCTTTTAATCATTTTTAATAAGCCTTAACTAGCTAAACTAAAGATCAAGATTTCCAATCTACAATAAATCATATTAGATAATCAAGGCAAAATTGATCAAACCTGATTGTAGCTTTGCCTGCAACTATGAACCAAGCCAAAGGTAGATTACCTTACCTAAAAATGTTGTAAGTAACATCCTCAGGAAAAGAAGCCATAGCAATAACATGGAAGGAAAGAACTTGATTAGTATTCAGAGTCTGCATCTAGCTATGCAAACATTATTTGATGAGATTTGGAAATAAATTTTCTAAAAGAAAAATACATTTTTCCCCAGGTTACAAGGCAAAGTAATGACATTCAGATCTGAATAACCTTCAAACAGAGTGTCTGCCCTCCAGGTATCTGCTGGAACTAATAAATGCCCTATTTTAGGTAATGAGAGGAACTTCAGCTATGTAAGAAAAGAAAGGAACACAGATTTTAATAATTCAGAGAGAAACAGTGAAAGAAATCAAATACATTTCATGCAGGAAAAAGCCAGAGTGCTAAATTATGTTCTGTCAGACAATAAACCCATGTGTATGAGTATAAAATATATTTTGAGCTGAACTGAAACAGAATTACTTACCTGAATGCCAACAAATCTCTAGCATCCTGCCTGTGGAAATCACCATATAAACTCAGTGATATTTATTTTTTTACAAGTACTTCTGATTTATTTATATTTGAAAGTTGTACATTTTTACCACTTCATCTTACCCTATTCTGCCACCACAATATCCATTTCCTCCTTAACCTAAAGAAATGTTGCTGCTATAATTCCTTCTAATCATGACATCCAGTGGATTAAAGACTTTCATCAAAATGACAAAAATAGCATTTTGTCATTGTGATGCAGCCTAAGACATCACAATACAGGTTCAGAGGGGGAGGAGCTTTCATCATAGTGTGGCAATGCTGCTTTTATCATTTATCAATTCAAGCAAAAAATCCAGATAACTGAACAAATATCCCAAACCAAGAATAACAGAATAACAGAGTTGGAAGGGATTTTGGAAGTCTTCTTTTCCAACTCTCTGCTAAGACAGGAGACCCTACACCATTTCAGACAAGTGTTTGTCCAATCTCTTCTTAATCTCTTCTTAAAAACCTCCAGTGATGGAGCACCCAAAACTTTTGGAGGCAAGCCGTTCCCCTGATAAATTGTTCTCACTATCAGGAAATTACTCAATTGATTCCCTCTTCTTTATGACAGAATTGTTTCTATTCACAATCATTGTGAATGATTGTTTCTATTCACCTATAATTATAGTGTTGGAATTTGGCTGTCGTGCAATCAAGTAGTTACATTTGACTTTGCCTTAGAACTTGTAAATTTGTTTTGAGGGCTTTATAGTAGATATCAATTGTGACAGGTTATTTTCAGAATAATTCTAACATTTAGAGATTATTATATTAAAGGGTTTCTTACAAATCAGGTAATTATTTTTCTATCAGTGATAAAAATATCTGTTAGTGACATGTTTATATTGGGAACTAGAGATTTAATAAGATAGCAGAATCTTCTATTGCTTCCAGAATTTATTCTCTTTGAATATTTAAATGCTGATTTTCAGTTATAATAGATGTACTATCATCCATCAGAATTGTTTTTATTCACAATTATGCAAAGGTTCCTCAGCAATGGCACATCCAGATAAAGCATACACTTTGTTTTTATCTCATGAAAAAAGATCTTCCATGCTGGCTCAGGAATTCTGGGAGTTGAAGTCCAAAAGTCATAAAACAGCCATTGTTTCCCATCCCTCTCTTAAAGCAGTGAATAATTTTTCAGATATCAGCAGATTCAGAGATTTCTTCTAATACCTACAAAAGTAGTTAAAATGTTTTAGGAATATGAAACAGATGTTTGAAAGTTACTTCTGACAAAGAAATATTCAGAACACAGTGGGGAGACATCACTGAAGGAAGGAACTGATGCGGTCATTTACATTTCCCTTAAGGAATCACCATCGTGATTGTGTTGGCTGATTAGTGCAATTATTTATCTTGTAAAGTCAGTCAGTACAGCAATAACTAGAGGACACAATATTTAAACCTGAAAGACTGACTTGTCAAAGGTCAAATTGATCAAGTGTGTGAGGAGCCTGGGGCCTTCTTGTTTTTGTTGAATTACAACTCCTTTATATCTGATCAATGGGCCCATTGGCTGTAGATGATGGCAATTAAACTGTATTTTTTCCACTGTCAATGCAAAAATCTCAAGTTTCAAAGTGAGGATTACTAGGAAGATTAATGAGGGGTGGTGGTGTTAGAGGGTAAAAGATGTCAGTGATGTCAATTCATCATGACATCATACTATAAATGACACAATTACTATAATCTGTGTCTTTTGAATGATAAAATCGTACCTCTGTGACAACATCATTCCTTCTATTGGATATACAGTATATGGGTAAGCCACTGCATTTATATTCCACTTTCCTCTCAAAGTTCAAGGTGACATTCACTGGAATCTTCCTTCATTTTATCACCACTACAAGTCTGTCAATTGAACTGAGAGGTCATCTGGTGATGTTAAAGTTGATTCTCAAATTTTATTCTCGGTCAAACATATAATCAAGGCATTTAATTATATTTAGCCTTTGTTCACACATGGTGCTAAATCATGGCTTGTATTAATTATGAACTATAGAGAATGTCAATGTAGCTAGAGTCATACATTATGCTAAGCTTTACCTGAGTTTACCAACTATAAAGCCTAGTTTTTCACAGCATGCTAAGACCAAACAGGCAAATCACATTATGGCTCACATTATAGTCTCTAGATCCCTTCTTGTTCTAATCTTTATGTGATTTGTTTAATTTTGATTTGGTGCGTTGGCAGTGGTGGGTTTCAATTTTTTTTTACTACCAGTTCTGTGGGTGTGGTTTGGTGGGCGTGGCATGGCATGGCATGGCATGGCATGGCTTGGTGGGCGTGGCTTGGTGGGTGTGGCAGGGAAAGATACTGTAAAATCTCCATTCCCTCCCCATTCCAGGGGAAGATACTGTAAAATCTCCATTCCCTCCCTACTTCAGGGGAAAGTTACTGGAAAATCCCCATTTCCTCCCAATCAGCTGGGACTTGGAAGGCAGAGAATAGATGGGGGCGGGGCCAGTCAGAATTTTTACTACCGGTTCTCCGGAACTGGTCAGAATCTGCTGAAACCCACCTCTGTGCGTTGGGGTTTATAAAACCATATTTATGGCTAATTACTGAGGTTTGTAAAAGCATAGTTTATGGCCCAGTACAATATTAGAGTATAGTCTTTTCTGGCTAATTCAATAAACTACAGAAATAACTTAAGCAAAATATTTATTTATTTATTTTATTAGATTTTTATACCGCCCTTCTCCCAATGGACTCAGGGCGGTGAACAGCCAAGAATAAAAACATCACAAAGAAAATTTAAAAAAAAAAGAATTAAACAAATTTTGGCCCAGTAAATTTAAAACACCCCAACTAAAAACAATTAACAATTAAAAATATCTAAAGGGGGGGGGTTAAGCCAGCCCAGCTTGATGAAATAAAAAAGTTTTAAGGGCACGGCGAAAAGCACGGAGATCTGGGATCCTACGTATCTCCGAGGACAGGTGCTGCCACAGAGAAGGCCCTTCCCCTGGGGTCGCCAGCCGACAGCACCCTGAGGAGTCCCTCTCTGTGGGAGCGTACTGGCCGGTGGGAGGCTATCGGTGGCAGAAGGTGGTCCTGTAAGTACCCAGGCCCTAAGCCATGGAGCACTTTAAAGGTGGTAATCAACACCTTGAAGTGCACCCGGAAGACCACTGGGAGCCAGTGCAGCTCACGCAAGAGGGGTGTCACATGGGAGCGCCCCATTGCTCCCATAATCCCCCGCGCAGCCGCATTCTGCACCAGTTGGAGCCTCCGGATGCTCCTCAAGGGGAGTCCCATGTAGAGAGCATTAAAGTAGTCCAGGCAGGAGGTGACAAGTGCCTGAGTGACTGCGCATAAGGAGTCCTGATCCAGAAAGGGATGCAACTGGCGAATCAGGAGGACCTGATAAAAAGCCCCCCTTGCCACAGCCGTCATATGCTGTTCTAAAGACAGCCGTGCATCCAGGAGGATGCCCGAGTTGTGAGCCCTCTCTGTGGGGGCCAGTAACTCGCCCCCAATAGCCAGCGATGGCATCAGCTGGCTATATCGGGACGCCGGAAGCCACAGCCACTCAGTCTTGGAAGGGTTGAGTCGGAGCCTGTTTCTCCCCATCCAGACTCGCACAGCCTCCAGGCATCGCGACATCACTTCAAGGGCATCATTGGGATGGCCTGGGGTCGAGATGTACAGCTGAGTATCATCAGCGTACTGATGGAACTCCACCCCAAAACCACGGATGATCTCACCCATCATCCCGCCTGAACCTACCCAGTCAGAGACCAAGCCTTCCCGAATTTGAGTGATTTTATCGTGAAGATAATGCACAAAATCCTCAGCCCGACCCTGCAAGGGATCCTCCCACGCTCCCAGATGGAGAAGGGAGCGGGTCACCCTAAACAGGGTGGCTGGGCGATTATCTGCAGATGTGATAAGGGTGGAAAAATAATTACATTTTGCCGCTTTTATCACCACTAGGTAGGTCTTAATGTGAGACCTCACCAGTGTTCGGTCAGATTTGAAACGGCTGGTCCTCCAACTGCTCTCCAGGCATCTTTTCTGGTGCTTCATCTCCCTCAGCTCCTCAGAAAACCAAGGAGCCAAGTAAATTCGGTGACGGGTCAGAGGCCGCAAAGGCACAACTCGGTCCAAAGCGCCAGCGGCCGCCCTGTCCCAGTCCCCACCCTGTCCCAATAAATCACTAGCCAGTGAAACTACTGTGGGGTTTAGAAGTCTGAATTTTATTCTCAGCTTGAAGAAAGCAAGAAATTTATTCCTTCTGTTTTAATATAGTATTGTTATCATATAACGCAAGTAACAAGGAATGCAAAATGGTTTCTGATGTTGCAACTAGTCACAGTTGATCCTGAGGCAAGAAATGTGTAGCAAAGTCGCTTTATTGAATGTTCAGTTAGAAACAAAACCACCTTCCCTGTTATATGGTGCAGATTAAGGAAAAACAAAAAAACAAACATCAGCCACAAGGTTCTGATCCAAGAATTTGCCTCATTAGTGACACAAGAGGTAGGCTACTTAATTTACATAATCACTTATGACCTAATAATAATAGTAATAAAATAATGACCTAAGTTCAGGGCTCTCAGTTCATTCTGGCTAAGGCCCAGCAATCATTACACAGATACCTTAAAATCAAACTGAGATGGCCACTGCTCTGATTCTCATTTTAGTGATTTTTTTCCCCACACTACTTTAACAAGGAAAAAAAAGGATCCATGATATCATATTACTTTGTATATCACATGTTGGCACTAATTCACACATGCATGTTAATTGGACAATAACACATCACTCAATAATTTATTGAAGGCATGAACTAGTCCTATTGTGTTAGAGTGAGTGTTAGATGATGACTGGCTGGTTGGGACTATTTCATACATTCAAAGCATTGCTTGATGCTGTAATAATCCAACCGATTAATAGGTAAGTATGAACTCATCCAAACATGCACTGCTCAGTATTACCTTTAAATGCACCAAAAATTATACTTATAAATTACACTTATAATAAACCCGATGTTAAAATCTCCAGATTAGAGAGAAGCTTGAAACATCACAATAACATTGGCCCAGCTGATTCTCTTGCATGCATCCTCCTTAT